TCGAGACTATGCTGGCCTCATACTTTTCCTAGAGGAGGACCACTACTTAGCCCCAGACTTTTACCACGTCTTCAAAAAGATGTGGAAATTAAAGCAGCAAGAGTGTCCTGAGTGTGATGTTCTCTCCCTGGGCACCTATACAGCTAGTCGTAGTTTCTATGGCATTGCCGACAAGGTAGATGTGAAAACTTGGAAATCCACAGAGCACAATATGGGACTAGCCCTGACTCCGGACGCATATCAGAAACTGATTGAATGCACAGACACTTTCTGTACTTACGATGATTATAACTGGGACTGGACTCTTCAATATTTGACTGTATCTTGTCTTCCAAAATTCTGGAAAGTGCTGGTTCCTCAAGTACCTAGGATTTTTCATGCTGGAGACTGTGGTATGCACCACAAGAAAACCTGTAGACCATTTACCCAGAGTGCCCAAATTGAGTCACTCTTAAATAATAACAAACAGTACTTGTTTCCAGAAACTCTAATGATCAGTGAGAAGTTTATGGCAGCCGTTTCCCCACCTAGGAAAAATGGAGGGTGGGGAGATATTAGGGACCATGAACTCTGTAAAAGTTATAGAAGACTGCAGTGAAAAATCACAATTACAAAAGCAAAAGTGACAGTCTTCTATTTTTGATATTTGCCCAAACAAGATAGACAGTTGAATAAGAGTTTAGGGACTGGTTTCTGCTTTAATACAAACAAAAAAATGTTGTAAAAGGTGTCCAAATATAGTAATCTTTTCCTTTTATGTCTGATTAAGATTTAAAACACAAATTTTCATTTTGGGAGTTGGGTTTTAAAGCTCAATCTGTATCGGCTAAAGGTAATCGGGTTTTAAAGGTCAATCTGTATCTGCTAACGGTAATCGTTATTGTGAGAGAAGAGGTGAAATTTAAACTACATCTATCAATCTTTTTATCTGGAACTTTGTACACTTTCCCACTTTCAAAACTTATTTTAAGTACAGCAAAATTTATTTAAAATTGTCATGGCAGTAAAAAGTATTACAATGAAATGTTATAGTATTAATGGAACAAGCCCAGTTTCACTTTTGGACAGTTATTAGGAAGGGATTGCTTCACTAGTTTTATAATTCAAAAGTTTGTTTGTTAAACACCCTGTCAAAAACAGTCATTTTCAGTATTACAGATTCCTGTATTATTGTGTTAGGATTTGCCTGTGCTTTGGAACATTCATAGAACACACTTTCTTTTGGAATGTATTTGATAAGAACGTTTAAACACTTTTTTCACCTCAATGTAGAAATAGTGGTTTTCTTTTTTCTTTTAGTGCTGCCAAAATAAAATACTCATTTTTTGCATAAAAAGTTTCCTAATCATTTTGCAGAATAAATTTTGTTTACACTTTACACCAAAATTCAGTAAAGACATTCTTGAAATTTTAAAGTTAGCATTTCCTTTTCATATTTACTATCTGTACATTGTAGAACTGAATTGGAACTAAAACCCAGCCCTTGACAATGCATTTATTCCCTTTAGAAGAAACTAGCTTTCAAATTAGCCGGGCAGAGATGAACAATAAAATCTGCTGTAAGTGAAATACAGCCAGAAATAATACAAAGTTCAGTCATGCCAAAACGAAAGATGTTCTAGTACCTTTATTTAACCAAAATCATACTTTTTTAAAAGGACAGACACAGTAAATAATAGGAAACAAAATTTACTATTTACTTAAAATTTACTTAAAATTTACTCTACATTTATTGTAGAAGTTTCCCTTAAGAGCATACAATTGCATTCAACCAAAACTTATTCAGAGTAATATCTGTGTAGCTATTACAATTAGTCATTTCAATTTAAGAAAACTTAAGTGGACAGTTTCAAAATTATTATTGCATCAAATTAAGATTCATATTATGGTTGAAAAATGGATATGGTCATTTACATTGGGGCAAATAGTTCTCCTGTTTTATGAGCTACATTTATACTGCCCTCAGCCCAGTCTGGTTTCACATTTTATCAGGATTATAAATGTAAATCAAGATGAATTGCCAGAATTTGTACCAGTTTTTGGTACTCTAATCTGACCTCCCAGTTCAAAGAACTAAAGATATTAGGTAATTTCCGGGACTAAGGTAAGGCCAGAGGTTTGTTTAAATTGGTAGCTGTTTCTGGAACATATAGATCAGCTCATGGCCTTTGGGGCTAGGGATTAGGTCAACAGATATTTTCCTTTTACATTTTCTTTCATGCTATCCTAAAAAAATTTGTGAGAAACAAATCTATTAGGATTTTCCTCTGGCCTCAAAAATAGTATTCCACAAAATAATAGCCACAGATACATTATCTGCTGTCCTCTTTTAGTTATTATAAAACAAATTGATTCGAAAACACTTGACAATTTTCCTGTTGAAGCAAATTTCCAGGTTTTTTAATTGTCCTGTTTTAAAATTCATAAATGTACTCTGTAAGACCGAGAGGTGTTTTAATACTGTAATAGTAACTTTCAAAAAACTCTTTATAAAAACAAATTTTCAAAGTACTAAATAACTTGTATCATATATACACACACATTTATTTTCTGTGACAGACATGAAGAGTAAAATAGAATTGAAGCAAAAATACTGAATTTCATTAAGACTATTTGTACTGTAATTGTTTGAATCATTAATTTTGGTGAGTAAAGTTCTGAAGATATTTCAAGAATAAATATGTCCTATTCAGTGAGACTTCTAAACAGTTTTGAGATTCTACCTACCCCCCACACTCATATTTCTAGTTAATTGCATACTTGAGAATTTTTGTGACAGACACGACTTAAATATTTCAAAATTTTATTAAAGTAATGGTAAACAAGAGGCCAAAAACATCACAGAAGTACATATATACAGGTTATATTAAAACTGAATGTTTAATTAGAAAAAATATACATCTATCTGAGGAATCATAAAACTTACATCTATAATTTAGGAAACTGTATAAACTGCATATGCAAAAACAAATTCCTCCAGTTTCCCCATTAGAATCAAAACTGCAAATTTCAATTTCTTGAATACTTTCAGTTTAAGATAGTAGTTATCAGAAATAGAATCTATTTTAAGTCCCCAAATTTTTTTCTTAACTTTTAAATTCTAAAATTATATAGAATTAATCCAAGTCATATAGCAAAGAATTCTGAAAACTGAATGTGCAATGAGTCACATGATCTTTAATAATCTGCACACTACCATCCTGCATGTTGGTTTCTTTTATGTGGTCAAAACGATGTATACTGTGAACTGATAAGGAAGATAGGTGATTTCCATCTACTTCTTTCTCTTCAGTTATTACTGGTTCTTTTAAATTATCTTTTTCCTCGTTTGAGTAAATAGCACCTTTTTTTTTCATAAATTCAGATTCCATTTTTGACTCAGCGTGCTGAGACTTTCCACATAGCATTTGAGAAACATCAAGAGACTCTTGTTGCAAGTGTGCAACTGAACCACAACTATCTGTTTCTACTAGAACTGCTATAGATGAATCAGAATCAGTTGTTGAGGTGGTAAGATGTTCCGTGTTTTCTTTTTCAGTTAGATGACTTCCTTCATTGATTCTTTCTTCTTTTTCATGAAGCTGCTCAGAGTTACTACATTCTTGCAACTATGCCCAAGAAAAACAACAAATTAATAATTCTTTGAAACAAATAGAAAATTAAATTGTAGTATCCTCTGGAAATTTTTTTAAAAAAGTCATAAGGGAATAACTCTTGCAGAACTGCAGAGAGGTTTCTTCCTCCTCAAAGTCATCTTCCAAATGCTGCCAGTCATTACATTACTGACGATGTAAACCTGGCAATAATTCTCTGATTAAACCCTTTCAATGACTCATCTCCCTCAGGATAAAATAATCCTGGCCTACAAACCCTTTAGCCATCATTCTTATAAAGGCATTCTTAAATTTCTTGAATTTTCTTGAATTTCTGTGATCCTTCAGAGCCACTCTCCCCCCAATTCATATATGTCAAATTTGCTAGTTACTAAATTACTTCTGTGTCTGATAATGAAGATTATAAAAATAACCAAGCTTAAGATTCAACTAGAAAGAATAAACAAACTATGACGTAGTTCCCACGGTTTGAGAGTCAAAAAGACTTGCTTGTCCCTGGACTAACTTCCCAAATGTTAGTTTCTCTCTTTTCTTCATTGGACAGTTTTGGGATTAAATGGGATAACATGTGAAAATGAACTGCACAGTGTTTAGCACATAGTAAAATACATCTAAAAAAGTCCTTATTCCTCTTAACATTGCTCTCCCCAGCTATTGTGTACGTTTAGTTTACAGTTACGACATCAAGAATTAAGTTATTAGGCTTTAAACTGGTCTTATAGTCACTATTTTATTAAATCCACAAAAATCCTTACCTTTGCATGAATTTGAATCTTATTATCAGTGACATGAAGAACTTCAATTAATGGTGGGGTTAGGGGCATTGACTGTTTGAATGGAGAGTTCAGGACCTCGGCAAGAAACTCATTAACATTTTCTTCATTGACAAACAACCTTTCCTAAAATAAAAAAAATAAATACTCTGCTTTATAGGGCATCTTTGACACAGTTGCTATCTAAAAACAGCTCATAAAAGTTCTCACACAGTTCAAGATTATACTCTTCAAAGGTTTATTTTAATGTTATTCCTATGCTTTCTTGGCCAAAGAAAACAGTATTGTACACAGCAATAAGAAAAGCAAGAGTACATACACATATGGGAAAAGACCCTAAAATGTCTTAGTTCCTTTTCTAGGTGTCTATTAAATCTGAGGTATGCTTCCTCTCGTAGATAATCTTACAAATGGTATTTTCTTTTTTTTCCCTCTTAATATTTTATAAGAATAACATCACCTCTAGGGCTATATTAATGCAGTGCCAGCTATAAAATGTAATTCAATTTTAGAACACTTCTTAATGAGTCAGCTAAGAAATATACATGACAGGATCTACTCAAATTTTGTGTGACTGGTTTGCCTTTTAGTTCTTGGCTAGGTAAGAGCCAAGAATAATATTTAAGAGAAGTATATTCTATTTTTAAGCAATGAGATAACGCAGTGTGACACTAGCATATAGCTATTTATAAGAATGAGGTAGATTTCCAAACTATTAAGAAAAGCAAAATTACTTTCACAAAAATCCCAAAGCAATTTGTTTATATTCACGTCAAGTGAGTATAGGTATATAGTTAGGGTGCTGAAGAAATATCTGTATTTAAAATTCATAAAATCCATTGTTGCCCAAAATAAAAGTATTTTCTTCTGTACTTTCATATAAATAAATTTTATAATTACAAATAAAAACAATTCATTATTTGGTCTAAATAGAGGAGGAAATCAGAAAGAGAGAATTTTCAAGTTTTCGTCTATTAAACAGTATTTGAACTTGAGAACAACTACCAAACAAAAACGAACTTTGGGAACAGAAAAATTTTACTTTTGGAGTACTTTGCCTTGCTATTATCTGAAGGTCTGGAATAACACTGTAGTATAGAAACATTCCCATCAAAAGCATTTCTAAGTTTCATGTCTCTGGAAAAGACTTACACATTAATTGCAAAAAATACACCAAATAGTTTAGTCTCTAGTTAACCCAAGGAAAAATAATATATATTTCTAATGGAAATGTTTATGATTAAAAAATAAACGATTTGCCTACTGTCTTCACATTCTAATGACTGATTTTACTATAAAAGATACTGAATTCAGTGGTCCTAAAGCTTTAGGAAAATTCCTAGTGGTTATTTAAGGCTTATATAAATATAATTTGTATTTGTTTATGGGTAAAGTAACAATTCTGACCTTGACAGTTACAAATCCGCCTTTTTACATTATAATTGTTTTCATATAATGCATATGATATAATCATGATATATTATCTGTCTACTCACCCACTACTCTTGTGATTTTTAAAAATTTTACTTTAATACTGAGCCTGATCCAGTGACAGTGAAATGTAAAGAAGAAAATTGATTATGGTTCTATTAGCCTTAGTAAATGTGATGATTAACAAAGAAATTATAGATCTATTTCAGGATTCAAAGATATAAAACACAGTGGCCATAATCTCATTTTCATCTAGTTTCTTTGCTGAAATAATGTTAGCATACTAGAAAACCTGATTAAAATATATTCTTTAGTATTCTCTCAACTGCTTGTCCACAAAGCTTTATTCCCTTATTGTGAGTTATTTTCACATTTATTAAAACAATTACAGGAAAACAACAGCCCTTTCCTAAATTTCCCCCTTCTAATGACATAAACAGATAGTCAATTTCCTATTCTATATTCTCACAAAGTATTTTACCTAGCCCCGGCTACTTATTTTACCACTTTCAGTGGGTTTCAAATTAACCACTTTTCACAGAAGATATTGCTCATAAAATATAAATGTAACTTATTAGCTAATTTCTAGAAAAATAATGAGAAGAAGTGAACATTTCTAGCAGGTTAAAGTCCCAAATTTTTAAATTAAAAATTACTTTTTATTGTATAATCTGTGCAACTAGTGTTCTTCTGGGAATAAACCCTTGAATATGTTGAAAGGGCTTTTAAAAATTACATGTAACACTGATACAAACCTCAATCAAAACCACTAATTAACTGTTCATTTACAAGTTTAAGAAGTTCTTAGAACTTCAAATTTCAAGTTTTTTCAATATTTGCCATAGTACTGCAGTATGAATCTGAAATTCAAGAATCTCAAACACCTAAAAAAAATAGTAGCAACTACAATAATACATACTGAATTATTCATCAAAATTATAGCCTAAGTAAATTAGGTAACGCTCAGCCCAGTTCTAGAGTATTTGTCCAGAAGAGGTGTAACAGACCTACGTGCAGTACAGTTTGATAAATGTTTATATTACACTGTTAAATGTTAGCCATTGTGCCAAATACTAGCAAGGACCTAAAGATGATTAAAACACGCAAAAAGAGGTAATTTCAATGTAATATAACACCCACCTAAAGATAACCCCACCAACAATCAGTGACTAAAATCAAGCAGCACTACTATATGGTCCAAAGGGCAAGGAATTTAGATTCACACCTGGTTTTGAGTTTGTTTTCCTACACAAGAATTGTGACACAGGCTAAGATACTTTGGCTCTCCGGAAGTAAATTTCTTATTTTCTACGGTGGGACAGTTATTTGCCAACTTAAAATATATGGCTATTAACAAAGTGCCTCTTAAATCTATTTGGGTCATAAATCCCTTTGAGAATATGACTAGTTATAGCCCTTCTTCCTAGCAGAAAGCACCCTCAACTTTTTGCATAGGTTTAGAGGTCTGTGGATCCTGGGAATCCATTCAGGTCTTCCTTCAGAGTCAGTGGATTCCAGGGAAACAAGTACATTAAAGGCAATTTTGAAGACTTGAAAACTATCCATCAGAGGGGATGCGTGTTTTTATTTTCTTCCCAATACGCGTTTAACGCGCACTGATATTTTGCATCACGTGTATCAGTTTCGAGACAAGTTATATAATGGAAAACGCTTTGTTTAGGATAAGCTGAGAGGATCCCTGTAATAGCAGATGTAAAAAGTGGGATGAATTATTTCAAATATTAAGGATCTAGGAAGAACTGTTACCTCCAAAGAATCGCTGTTTAAACCATAATACCACTCTCTCCAATGTCCATAGCACTCTGCAGATTTGGCCAGTTCTATCACTGCATTGTTTGAAGAAATGCTAACCACTGGTTCTTTGGTACTCAATTTATTCTCTGAAGCAAACTGCAAAAAGAAAGAATAATAAACTAAGTCTTCAGTGGAAAAGCACAATTTGTACCAGAGGGGAGTCACATTCCCTTGAAGACTTTGCGGCTGGATCCGAGGCACTTGAATTAGCAGCGTCAAGCATACTTCATCCTGATTACACTGCAAAGGAGGGCACAAGGGTTCCCTGCTGTGGGTCCCGAGATCACCCATGGCTGGATTAGAAGGCTCGATGCCCGTGCCTTCCCTGGCCACGTGTGTCTCAACGCTGAGATCTCTGCGCGCACTCCCTCTTGCTGGAGAAGACCCTCTGTCAAGGTCCTTGGATGAAGTACAAGGGGAGCCTCCGCCACTGTCCCCAGGTGAGCTCCCTGTTCCGGAAAGCGGTTTCTCCCCGATGCCCACTGTCGACACTGCTTGCCCGCCGAAGTCCTGCTCCTTCAGTACGGAGACGAGCTCCTCCCCAGTGACGCCCGGGGTGGTGAATCCGGCGTCCGCAGCCCCAGTTCGGCTGGGATCCGAGCCTTCGTCTCCTGCGCGAACCCCCGCCGGGCCTGCCTCCCCCTCGCAAGCGGAAGCGCAGGCCGCGCCGTCAGTTCCGGACGGGTCAGCCGACTCTTCCGGCGCCGCGATGGGCTCCCGGTGCACCGCGGACAGAGCCACGGGCAGCGTGACCACCAGCTGTCGCCGGGCCTTGTTGAAATGCGCCTTGCCGCGGCTGTCGTCCACCAGGTACGGGAGCGAGAGCCGCAGCCGGTAGTCGGGTTTTCTCGAGTCGAGGCACAGTAGCTTTCCCGTCACTTCCAGCGCCGCCTGCTCCGCCGAGCGCAACAACGGCAGCTCGATGGTGACCACCAGCTCCTGGGGCACCGTGCTGGGGGCCGAGTCCCGGGAGTAGCGGTAATCCTGGAGGTCCACGTGGTGGCGCTGCACCACGCTGTAGCGAGGCTCGGTGGGGGCGGGCTGTGGGACCGCCTCTGGAGTGGAGGGCGCCCGGGGCTCAGGGCCCACAGAGTTCCCGGCGGCCGCCGGGCACCGGTAGGGGTAGGGAAAATCCGGAAGAGGGCTCTCTGGTTCCCCCTCGGGCCTGGTGGGGACACCCCCGGGCAGGGGCGTTCGCAGCACGGCGGCCTCCGGAGTCCCCTTATATTTGATCTTCAGGGTCTTGGCATTTCTGTGGTCTAACTTCACGCCAAACTGCTTCTCGACGGCTTCCAGGGCCATGGCGTCCAGCATCTGGAGGAAGGGCTCGTGGCGCCGGGCCAACTCGAGCGCGTGTGGGTGGAAGACCACGTCGTAGACCGTGTAGCGGGTGCTCCGCGCCCCCGCATACTCACGGCCGGGCGCCAGGCTATAGGGCAGGGACCACTGGCTGCCGGCGGGCGCACTCCCGGAGCTTGGCTGGCTGGTGGGTGCGCCCACCAGAGCGTTGCTGCACACATTCACGAAGCAGCGCCGCGCCCCGTCCAGGCTGGTGCGCAGCACATGGCCGGGCTCGGGGTGCACGAACCGCACTTCCACGCCGCGCTCGCGCTCCAGCGCAGTGATCTCTTCCTCGTAGCGCCGCCGGTTCTCGGGATCGGTGAGCTCCTGGGCGTACTCTGAGAACATTCGCCGGAACTTCGGGTCCTGAAAGGCGGAGGTGAGCCGCTGAACCTCCTCTCCGCTCAGGTCCAAGTCTTCCAGCGGCGAAGGGGCTGCCGCCTTAGCCATGCTGCCCCTTGGCCCCTATCCCTCAGGCCGAGGGCGATCAGTCCGACACCAGGTGGGTGGGACGCGCCGTGGAGTCGCTGGTCCGCGGAGAGGGAAGTGGCAGAGATCGGTAACTGCCTTGGGCAGCGCGTGCTCGTTGCCATGGTGACACCACTAACGGCCGGAAGGAGGGGCAGGAATTGGAATGGGATAGTGGAAATGCCAGAAACAGCATCTTAGTTTTTAAAAACCAGCTACCCTACAGTCTGTTTTTTAGATTCCTGTGCAGTGGTGTGGTTACTTCTTCGTTAGGGCAAGTATCATCATAATTGGCATAATTTCCAGCATTATGTTCGTTATTTCCTTCATTGTACACAACACTTAAAGGTAGAACTGATCCCCATTTCACAGACAAAATGGGACCTGAGAAGTTACCTGACCAAGGTCACACAGCTAGTATAGTCACAACTTGATTCATACCTATGTTTATCTGATTTTTTCACTTCACTAAACCAGTATTTCAGTCTTCCGGATATTTTACTACACAGTTTGCCCTGTAACAACTCATTTGGGGCAAGAGATACGGGCAGACTATTAATAACAAATGATCAACATGTAAGACTTCATTAATAAAAATGCAAATTGCAAATAAAAGATACTACATATCACCCATCGAAATGACAAAGTTTTTTGTTTTTTGTTTTACAATTACTGTATTTCCTTGGAGTAGTAGAATTTAGTAAAACCTTTCTAGAGAGTAGTTGGTAGCTGTACAAAAAGACTTTAAATCCAGCAATTCCAACTCAAGACAGCTTTATGATTCTAAAGGTTTGCGAATCTAAGAATTCAACAGTGGGACTGGTTGAGCAGATTTTGGTACAGCCATACAATGAAATTCTCTGCAGCCATTCAAAGTGATGCTATAATCAAATATATGGTAGCTGAAGGAAACTGTACTTTGGGTGGTGAACACAATAGAATATACAAATGTCAAATGATACTGTACCCCTGAAAATTACATGATTGTATTAACCAATGTTACGCCAATAAACTTAAAAAAAAATGATGCTGTAGAATATTTATTGACTAAGTTGGTTATTAATTAGTAGTTGTTAAATCCAGTGATTATTTTTCTGTTCTCATTCTATTGAAACTCACCAACATTTAACAATTGACGTTGGCATTACCTCAGTGACAAGACATTTCTAGGCTTTTTTCCTACCTCATCAGACACTTGAGACTACATAGTCAGCTTTATAATTTTTCACCTCTCTTCAGCTTCTAAGTAGAAATGCCTCAAGGCTGGGACCCCATCTCTTCTTCATTTATACTCTCCACAAATAAATTTACACTCACGAATACCAGACTTATATATCAGGGTCTAAACTCCAGACTCCTATATCCAGTTTCCCATTTAGGGTCTCCATTTGAATGATTTAATGCTTAAGCCCTTCAGGCTTGAAATGACCAAAAACAGGCTTGAAATGGCCTGACTCCTCTCCTTTCCCAGCTTCTGCCCTCATCATATGCTCTCTTGGCAGCATTCAAAACTGGATACTTCAGCCTCAATGGCAGAACACGATAGCTCTTGTGTAGCCTGTACGCAGGCCTTTGAATCTCAAGAACTTAAATTTAAGTGACTCTCTGTAACATGCTTCTCCCACCTCCGACACCCCATCTAAAATTGCCCACATTTATTTTCACCATGGTTCATATTTGGTATTTTTTTGGGTATGGCTTGCCCCATTTGAAAGTAAGCATTATGAAAGTGAGGACCTTGGCTTCCTGGTTTGCCACTGGATTCCCCAGTACCTAGAACATTAGGTACTCAGATATTTAATGAGTGGATATAGTACATTTAAGAAAAAAGCAAGTTTAGTATTATGGTATGATCCCAAAATATTCTTATAGGAAAAAATATATGCAGAGAAAAATCTGGGAGGATATATACTACAATATTAACAGATTATTTCTGGTGATGGAATTGCATGGCATTAAAACTTTTCTTTATGATTATTTGTATTTCCTAATTTTTCTATTATGAACTTGTTTAATAACAAGTTTAAAAACACCCTATCATTTAGGGCTTAGATTTACATCTGGAATGGCTGAGGCATAAAGATGAATTCAGCTCTTTAGGAAAAGAGTGTAGACTTGTATAAAAGCTCCCATGCCCCAAACAAATGATCTCTTGCCTAAAATTCATCCCTTAAGGAAAGGCTATCCTTATTAAATTATGAATGCCTTTTGAAGGAGGACTGAGTATTAAAGCCCTTATCAGTTATTAACCCATTAGTGCAAACTGCTTTATCTTATCTTTCCACAAATACTGCATGCCAGCAAGGACACAACTCTGTTGGGAAGTAGAGACTGAGAGATGGTCTGAGACCTACTGACTTAAGTCCAGTCTGCAATTCCTTGGACTTCCTGTGGTTTCCCAACAGGCAGACCAAGTGTTACTTTTCTCGGTAGAGAAATCTTACCCACATCCATCTTGTGTGATCTACCTCATGGCCAGATTTCTGTGGTGAGATCAGCCATGCTTCATCAGATTAAACACCAATCAGGGAACATATCACCTCTCTGTTTTTACCCAAAGCAGAAGCCCAGGATACCCTTGCAGTACTACTTTTCATTTACAGACAGTGCTGATCCCCACCTGGTTCTAGTTCCTGTCTTATCTTATTCCAATACTTATTGCCTGGTCTGGCCTCTTATCTGCTTTAAATGCCTTGCTTTATCTCACTTCACCTTGCTAACCCCTAAATGCACCCTATCTTTCTAGCCATTATTTGTGTTCCTAAGGTCTGCAAAAGCTCATCTTATGGAAGCAATTATTTGTTAAATGAATGAGTTAATGAATGATAGGACATATCCCATTTTCATTTATAACTTTCTACCCATCATCTTTCATATTTAGCTCTATGGTTCTCATAATTGGACCAACCACCTTGCCATGTCTTATTTCATTGCCACTTTCAAGGTCCAAATTGTAAAATTTTCCAAACAATCCACTAGCTTTTGGACTTATGTCTTGATATCATCTTCAGTTTTCCCAGGCTGTTCTTGCAATTAAAATTTCTTTTCCTCAAAAAGCTAATTTTCATTAAAAGAAATATCTTCCATTCCAAGCTCTTTGCAATATTAAGGTTACACCTACATTTGAAACATTCTTTGTACCTCTAACAACTTCCTGTCATTCAGATTCATTTCTGGGCTATTGTTGCTAGCCATAAACCAAAAGTAAGGGAATGGTGTTGAGCGACTACACCTAAAATAACAAATTGCTTCAAAATAAACACGTCACCCTGAACATGCCTGATCTCATCTGATCTTGGAAGCTAAGCAGGGTCGGGCCTGGTTAGTTCTTGGATGGGAGACCACTTAGGAATACCAGGTGCTGTAGGCTTAATAAAATAAAAACAAAATAATCATGTCTTCCAAATGTAAAAACTGGGGACTGTGTTTTTCAATGCCTAATGCTAAAAGATAATTATGTACTGAGTATCACAATAATATCCAAAGGTCTTCACTATCAGAATAGATTCTGTGATTTGAAATTTAAACAGTTTGAAAATTGTTGAATATACTGTTAAGACTCGTATTAAAAACGTAAATTAGACTAAAACAATGATTCAAATATTTTAAATGTTTTTCTTAAAATTAACTTTAGCAAATGACAAGTATAGAAATAATGAAACTTCAATTTTTAAGCACATATGTATAATTAGATTATAGCTTTATATTTTTCATTTTTCTTAAGACTGCAGAAAATATTTTTCCTATAAAACTTTGTAAAGTACACCATCACGTTTATAACTTAATATCAAAATTTCATAAAAAACAAATTTAAAAAGAACATTCTAGAATCTACCATAATTTTATTGTAACTTAATATCAAAATTACATAAAATATAAAATTAAGCATAAAACAGAATTTTGTTTCTTCAGATGGTCTTTAAGAATCTCAAAAACCTTGAAGTTTGCTGAAAATAGAAGATATTCATACAATTAAACATTTGGGAAATCTTAAATTATTATACATTTCTTAATACTTAGTTTTAGTTAATTTAAAAAACAGGTCAACACATGCATCTTGTTCCAAATTGAAAAGGTGACACAGATAAAAATAAGTTGGTCTCACACTCTATTTCTACTCCCTAGAAGCAACTATATATCTTTATTAAGATAGTCAAATCATATATATGCATGCATGTATATATATGCATGTATAAAAACACATACACAAATGGCAGAATACTATGAATACTATTCTACACCTTTTTTCAATTAGTAATAAATATAATTTTTCTAACTAATCCTTTAAAGCTTTAAAATTTAAGTAAATTAAGAAAGTTCTGAATAAGTATATATATTTAAATGGATATACATTTAAACTGTTTTGTTATTACAAAAACTACAATAAAAATGGCTGTACCTACATTTGTGTATAAGCCCAAGTACACCTGTAGGATAAATTCCTAGAAATGGAATTGCCAGTAAATGCGGTTTAGGTCTCTTAAGAAATCTTGTCAAATTGCCCTCCATAAAGGTTTTTACCATTTTTTATTGACCAACTATGTGTGAGAATGGGTATTTCTTCACTACATCACCAATACAGTGTTTTTAAAAAGCTGTAATTGAGAGTACATGTTGAAACAGTGTTAACTTTATCTACTTTGACTACATTTCTGTGATTAACTCTACAATATGATTTCACAAGTATTCTAACAAAATATATCTTAGAAACTAAACAGGAAGACCAAATTATTCCACTATATCTTAAAAATTTTTTGTTCTCAAAAATAAACATGTACCAACTTGTTTGATTAATCACTGAAAAGATTCCTCAAATAATCAATACTAAATTATAGTTTGGAAATTATGCCAAGGCTTTTCAGCATTCAGTCCACAGAAGATAAAGGAAAAAACTATATCAATTCAACAAACAATATCAACTGCAAGTCAAGTACTATTGTGCCAGAAACTTTTTAGAGGGACAGGCACATAAGTGACTTCTAATACAGAGTATTAAGAATTATCATAGAAATCTGTATTAAGTGTATTAAAATACAAAACAATTCTGCATGGCAATTAGGGAACATTACAAGAAGTATAACTGAAGTGTCTTGTGCTATCATAATAAATCTGTTAATTTCCTATTGTGGTTTATTTACTTA